AGGGAAAGAAGTGGATAAACAGTATCATCAATTTTACCACAAGCCTCTAGCCTCCAAGCGGTATCAACACGCTCAGCAAATACAGAGTGGTGAATATAAAAGCTGCCAAAAATTATAATTTGTTAGATTCACTAATGAGCTGACACAACAAAATTTAAACTTACAAAACCAAATGAACACAAAACAAAAAGTTCCCATTAACATCTTCTGAATCAACGGACAGAGCTATAAAATTATACCTCACTAACAACATAATCTCTTGCATCATTTGCAGTTTTTCTGGTGCAGCAATGCACCGGGCCCGAACCTTAACCTTTCCAGATTGCATTAGCGGAATCACAATCTTTGCCCATTCCATTGGCATCCTCCCAACCTAATGCCAAATTCAACAAGACAAAGCACCATCAAACCTATCTCTTAAAGACTCATAAACTCAAATTCAACATACATACTTACACATGCATATATTCTTTGCTGTTTCCCAAATGTATCCTCAACCAAAAACAATCTTGTTCAAGACACTATTAATACTAATACCTTCCCAAGCAAAGGTTCGGACATTAGTTCATCACATTACAAGAATTAGCTCTTTCCATTGGCTCAACCTTCATCAGTAACATAAATGCATCCATTCATTCACGCCAATATACATATATGCATACATAGATACATACACTACACACATACTGAACACATTCATACATTCTTTGTTGTTTCTCAAATATATCCTCACTCACAACCAAAGTCTTTTAAGAGACCAAATGTGGACAACCCTCCAAGAAAATATTTGAACCTTAGTTCATCGCAATATCAAAACCAGCCATTGCCATTAGAACTAACATGCATGAATCTCACACGCACACATAATATACACATGCACCATGTACGCTTGCATACATTCAAGTCCACCCAATGTATTATTAGACCTAAAGCAAATGTTGATGAAAAGTCTTTATAAAATTAATAAAGGTAACAGAAAAATCAGAAGTCTTATTAAAAATAAAAAAGAATTATTTTCTCCACCAATGTCAAAACTCTATTTATAAATAAAAAATAAAAATAAAAATAAAACACACACACACACTTTATTTATCACTATACTAAATCAACTAATAATTTAACTTGTATAAAAATACCAACAAATATGCATACACTTCCCTACCTAAATGTATATGTTTATATATGTATATACATTTACATCCCACATACGCAACAACGTACATACATATATGTATGCACGTGCAGATAACATGAATGATTAATTTTCCAAAACCCTATCCCGAGTTTGGATACAACTTAAAAGAACTTTTGAGTCTCTATAAGAAAATACTACTTATTTTCGGTAGAAAAATTCTCAAAAGAGTTTATAACTTGTATATAAACACAACTTAAATCACAAATAATCAATGCCAATAGTTACCTCTCCGGAACGCTTGGTTGAGATGCGAACGATCCACCGAAACTTGGTAGAGTGCATGGGAAGAGGAAAGTTGAAATGAACGATTTCATTGTCCACCAATCTCATAACTCCCCTGGCCGTCGAAACCGCAACCTCAACCTTTCTCTCCACCAACGACCACCCAGCCTCTTCCGGAAACTCCCCATCCTCCACATTCGGAACCTTCCTCTTTTCCGGAACCCCACGCACCTCCACCACCTCCACGTCATCGGTAACCACTTCTCTCTCCACCGGTCGAACCGGTCGCGCTTCTCCCTCCACCGGTCGAACCGGTCGCGCTTCTTTCGCCACCGGCTGAACCGGTGACGACTCCACTTCCTCTCCCTCCTCCTCTTCTTCCACCTCCACCACCGGCGCCATGGACTTCAGAGCCTCCTCTTCGGTCGCCACCTTCGCCTTCGTCGCCTTCAGAAACTCGTCGAACGAAAACCCCTGCCGTTGCTGCGGCTGAGCGACGTCGAAGCCGGTTTCGCCTTGTCCTTCTTCTTCGTGCGGCGGCGGCGGCGGTGGTTCAGCGAGGACGCGCGCGCCGCCGGTGCTGGTGGCGGAGCGGACCACCGTGAGAGGCTGCGCGGCGATGACGGCTCTTCCGTTCCGGTAGAGATACTTGTGTAACGTTCCCGGCGGTGGTGACGTTATGGAAACTTCTTCTTCAGCCATAGATTGGAAAATAATAATATTAAAAAAATAAAAAGAAATTAGATGAATGTAGAAAATGAAGAGTGGAGAAAGTGGGAGGGTTTGGGTTTATAAGGGTTTTAGGAAGCGCGGTTTTTTTCAGAGAGTGAGAATGGCGCGAAATCCTTTTAACCTTGCCGCTGTTATTTTTTTTTTTTTTTTTTTTTTTGGCTCTGCTAATTATTTTTTTTTAAAATTTTTATTTTTAAGTATTACGTTTAAT